GGCTGCGGTGAGCCGAGATCGCGCCATTGCACTCCAGCCTGGGTAACGAGAGCGAAACTCCGTCTCAAAAAAAAAAAAACAAAACAAAAAATGTATCATAGCCCCTCAAATAATTCATGACTGAATAAACCCCATGACCCAAAAGAATTGAGACAGAGTCTCACTCTGTTACCCAGGCTGGAGAGCCAGGTCCTGATCTTGGCCCACTGCAAACTCCACCTCCTACCTCAGCCTCCTACATAGCTGGGATTACAGGCACCCACCACAATGCCCGGCTAATTATTTTTGTATTTTTAGTAGAGATGGGGTTTCTATTGGCCAGGCTGGTTTCCAACTCCTGATCCGCCTGTCTCAGCCTTCCAAAGTGCTGGGATTATAGGTGTGAGCCAGCACGCCCAGGCTAGCAGTATTATTTATAAGAGTAAAGACACGAAACCAATCCAGATGTTCATCAACAGGTAAGTATATGAACAAAATGTGGTAAACTCATACAATGGAAATATTATTCAGCCTTAAAAGCAAACTCGGACGGGGCCAGAGGCGGTGGCTCATGCTTGTAATCCCATCACTTTGGGAATCTGAGGCAAGTGGATCACATGAGGCCAGGCGTTCAAAACCACCCTGGCCAAAATGTCGAAACTGCTGTCTGTAATAGAACTACCAAAAATTAGCTGGGCATAGTGACACATAGACACACTGTTATTACATCCCTGTAATACCAGTTACTTGGTAGGCTGAGGCAATAGGATTGCTTGAACCCAGAAGGCAGAGGTTGCAGTGAGCTGGGTTGCACCACTACACTCCGCCCTGGGTGACAAAGTAAGAGTCTGTCTCAAAAAGAAGAAAAAAAAAAAAGAAAGAAAGAAAGAAAGGAAAAGAAAGGAAAGGGAAAGGAAAAAGGAAATCAAGAGTTACTCCATGGTACAATACTCACAATGCAGTTATTTTAAAAAAAGTATGAAGACTATCACCAGAAACAGGGAACTGAGGATTAAATAAAATAAAAACGCATTTATAATACATAGAAATGGGCAGTGCACAGTGACTCACGCCTTCAATCCCAGCACTTTGGGAGGCTGAGGCAGGCAGATTGCCTGTGGTCAGGAGTTCAAGACCAGTGTGGCCAACATGGAGAAACGCCCTCTCTACTAAAAACACAAAACTAGCCAACCTTGGTGGCTAGTGCCTGTAAGCTCAGCTACTTCAGGGGCTGAGGCATGAGAATCGCTTGAACTCCGGAGGCAGAGGTTGCAGTGAGCCAAGATGGCACCAGTGTACTCAAGCCTGGGCAACAGAGCGAGACTCTGACTCACAAAAAAAAAAAAAAAAAAAAACCAAAAAAAAAACAAATGAACAAGTTGAAAGCCACTGTGTCTTAACTGACAGTGGAATTAAAATACAGGGACCTCATTCAACCTCACAAGCTCCCTCAATAAAACTGATGAAAACTATATCTGCTACAGGGTTGATACCACAACAAATTGAGCAAAGGTTTTCTTGCTAAAAATGAACAATGACACATATTGGTGTGAAAAATGTGAAGTGAACAAGAGTTCAGTCAAAAGCCTCATACATATGAGGCTGTGAGCCAGAATGATGGCCCCCCCAGGAAGAATATCAACAACACTAACCACTGCTTAGAGATGATTATTAATTTATGAAATAAACATTGTCACAGTGCCAGTAAGCGACGCTTCTGTGATGCTGCTCAAAAACCAGAATAGGCCGGGTGCAGTGGCTCACGCCTGTAATCCCAGCAATTTGGAAGGCTGAGGCGGGTGGATCATCTGAGGTCAGGAGTTCGAGACCAGCTTGGACATCAATGTAAAACCCCGTATCCACTAAAAATACAAAAACTGGCCAGGCGTGGTATAATCCAAGCTACAAGGGAGGCTGAGGCAGGAGAATCACTTGAACCCGGGAGGCGGAGGTTGTAGTGAGCCAAGATCATGCCATTGCATTCCAGCCTGAGTGACAGAGCGAGACTCCATCTCAAAAAGAAAAAACAAAACAAAACAGCATGACAGCTGGAAACACTTGTCAGTCAGTGTCATACTTTCTATCTCATATCCCGGACCATGCAGACAATTCTGCTCAGGGCTTCCAAGGGCATCTCTGCCTAGAGCAGGATGATGTTCAATTGTATTAGTCAAAGCGTTCTTCAAGAATTTTCTGTTTTTAGGTAAAGCCACTGCATAGGAGAGTCCCTAAGAAGCTATTCATGCCCAATAGGGTTCTCACTGCAGAAACCAATGACATGTACATCAAAAGTATATATGGGGCAAAATCGCTACAGAGAATACAAACCAGGAAGAGTCAAGATAGACAAGGGCAGACTCCTCGTGTCTGGAGGGACATTTTCCTCACCCACAGACTCCAGGTTCCTGTGGTTCTCCAACATCACTTCTCTGTATAAAGCCCTCTGCGCAGGGGTCAGGCATTTCCACTCCTCCATTGAGAATTCTATAGCCACATCCTTGAAACTCAAGTGTCCCTAAAATGAAAAATACATTTCAACAAAACATTATGGAGGACTGAGCTATCACCTTCACACAAAATAAGAAAAAAGATATTAAGTATCAATTTGATCAAAGACTGTGTTGTGACATGGTAATGTTAAGGCATTTTGAACATGTGTTCACTAAAGTGGCATTTTATTGTACTTTTCCGTGACAGATTTTAAGATCCCCTGTAAGTCACTGTAGAAGTCTCAGTATTATGGACAATATAAAAAAGTTACAAATAAAAAGTGTTTTCTCTATAGCTACGTTAGATATTTTGTTCAATAAAACACATGATATTTATTATCTAGATGGGCTAAAATACAAGTGCTATTTCAGAGTCGACAAAGTCCAGTGGTTTTAAAGAAAACAAAGTCAGATTCAGGTACAGTGGCTCATGCCTGTAATCCCACATTGGGGGGCCCAACAGGGTGGATAACCTGAGGTCAGGAGTTTGAGACCAGACTGCCCCAGGTGGTGAAACCCCGTCTCTACTAAAAATATAAAAATTAGCCAGCCATGGTGGCAGGCGCCTGTAATCATACCTACACAGGAGGCTGAGGCAAAAGAATCACTTGAACACGGGAGGCAGAGGTTGCAGAGAACCAAGATTGCACCACTGGACTCTAGCCTGGGTAACAAGAGTGAAATGCCAGCTCAAAAAAAAAAAAAAAAGGAAAGTCAGAATCTAAAAACTGTCATGATCATAGCAGTAGCAATGACTGACAGTTTTGAACACTTCCCATGTGCTAAACTGTGTTCTACGTGCGTCCCATGTCCTCAGCCGTAAACTTACACACTGTCCCATGAGGAAAGATCTGGACTTGGAGAGAACTGCCTCACACACACCCTGGGAAAGCTGCCACAAATCAAATAGATAAAAATGTCAACAGAACACCTGAATCCAGGTGTCTGGATGCAGCTTTGAATATAACCCCCTAAGTAACAGACACAGCTTCACATCTACATTGACAGT